AAGGAGGTGATAAGGACTGGAATTTGTGGGGGCAGCTGAAGAATAAGTTGGATAAAGCCAATGAAGAAGAAGAACAATATTGGAAACAAAAGGCCAGGTCCAACTGGCTCAAAGATGGAGACAGAAATACCAGCTACTTTCATGCTACAGTTAAGGAAAGAAGAGTAATGAACAAAATCTCTCGATTGATGATTGAGGATCAAAGGATCTGTCAGACTAAGAGTGAGATAGTGGGACTGTCTTCAGGACTACTACTCTAATCTTTTCTCTTCTCAAGGTTCCTTGAATGGTGCTGAGCTTCTTAAGGTCATTTCGGAACTCATATCTACTGAACTTAATTCAGAGTTAGTGGCTGCTGTGGATAAGGATAAAACTGAAGAGGCTATCTTCCGTATTGATCCTAATAAATCCCCTGGGTTAGATGGTATGGCTTCTTCATTCTTTCAGTCCTTTTGGTTGTTCGCAAAATATTTTTACTACCCGCAAGTGTACGGAGTAGCTGCAGAAAGCGGCGAGCAAGGTCGTATTCCACAGAGACTGTTGTTAAACTAATTAAGTACCAAAATATCGACGATTAAATATTATCTAGACTAATGCAAATTCGATTGGAGTTTTTATTCTAAACTAATGAATGAATGCAAAAATAAATTCTAACACTAATGAAGGCTTGTTCTAAATAAATCAAGTATGAGAAAATAGATTCTAGGCTATGCTTTCCTCGGGATTATTCTAGCAAAGTTTTATTATTCATTCAAACCTTATTTAATTCTACCAATCGTAGGGATAATCGCTAAAGTAATTTACACCTTTCTCTCGAACAAGTTAAATCGTAGATATTAATTGCTATCTATCTCCTCTCTGTCTCAAGATGAACAACTAACTCCCATAAGCTCCTAAGATTCTAGTTCCCTCGCAAGATTCTATCAACCTCTCGATCTATTTAGTCTCTTACGTTATGAATTTCCCAATTCTAGCAATTAACTATCTCCTCTCGGTCTCAAGTCAATCACAAATATGCATAAATACGGGCCCTATATTCACACAATTCATATAATCACAAGAAATAGATAAACGAAAGACAGACCAGAATGAATAAACAAAATTACTTCATAAAATAATCCGAGTACTCGCAAATCCTAGAATCTCAAAGAGATTTAGCTACTAAACATATTCTCAATACTCAAAATAAATAAATATATGAGTTCAATGAAGAAGAAAAAGAGAAAAGAAAGAAGAACTATTGTTGCCGTTAGTTCCCGGATATTCAATCTTGACTTCCTCGAATCCCTCGTGTGTTTCGTGCTTTCTCCAGGCCTCCAATGGTGTCAAAAAGTCCCAAAACCGTGTTCTTTATGTTTCTTATATACTGTAGGGCAAATATGGGTGGAAAAAGGGATCAAATCGCGCAGGTTTCCTATTTTCCGCTGGTTTAACTGCGCGTCACACGACTCGTGTCACAAGCCACACGAGTCGTGTGACTTGTCTTCAATTTTCGGCAAAGTTCTAGGTTCACACGAGCAACCCACACGAGAAGCCACACGAGTCGTGTGAGCCCACACGACTCGTGTCATGAGCCACACGTCTCGTGTGGTAAAGCCGCAGCAAAACTTTGATTTTTCTCACCCCACACGACTCGTGTCACGCTCCACACGAGTCGTGTGACCTGCCTGCACCTCATTTTCGTCGTTTTTCGTCCCGATTCCATCTTTAACGCTTTTTCGGGCATATGTCCTACAAAACCAACGACAAATATACCTCCATCATAGATTAATAAATCAAACAAAATGGTGCACAAACCCACGATAAACACGGTCAAACATCGCAATGTATCACTCATAATGCATGAAAATATGATGAATGTCATTGGTCAATTGACAAATTTGATTTCTGTGCTCTAATTCATGGTTTCGTTGCTTATGGTCATTAGACAAAGGGACCTACTGTCCCCTTACATTTTCATTTTAGGATATGAAATCCTCTCTAGGCAGCTTAGGAAACTCTCTACTCTTGGTCTTTTTTGTGGACTCAAAATCTATAAATATGGTTCTGCATTCTCTTACTTTTTTTTTGCTGATGACACCAATGTCTTTTGTCAAACAGACCTCTTTCATGCTAAAACATTGTTTGATTTACTTAACCAGTTCAAATTCTTCTCTGGCCAAACTGTTAACCTTGCCAAATCTTCTATTTTCTTCAATAGGAATACTGCTCTTAATGTGAAGAATGATATTAGTAACGTATTGTTAGGTATTGCTCACCATAATTCATCCAGATACCTTGGGTTGCCTTTCGACATTAGCTCTTCTAAAATTGATACTTTCTCCTTTGTCTCTGAAAATGTAAAAAAAAAAAAAAAAAAAATCAAAGCTGGAAGAACTGCTTCATTTCACAAGCTGGAAGAGAAGTGTTTCTTAAGGCAGTTCTTGGAGCATTGCCAATATTTGTTAAGTCGTGCTTTATTTTACCAAACTATTTGCAAGCAGTTGACACAGGTCTATGCCAATTTCTGGTGGAAATCTTCAAATGGAATGAAGAAAGGTGTGTTCAAGAAAGCTTGAAAGTGGCTAACTTTGCCTAAGGAGCTGGGAAGGCTGAACTTCAAGGATATGAATTTATTGAATCAAGCTTGATCACAAAACATATCTAGAGAATTTTCACCAAGCCAAACCTGCTAGTGAGTAGAATTCTGAAAGCCAAGTACTTCTCTAAATCGTCTATTCTGGAAGCTCAAAAATCAAAAAATGGGTCTTCGCTTTGGAACAGTTGGATGGAGGCTAAAGAGATCATGCACAGAGGGATTAGATTTGATGTCAACGATGGGAAGTCAATTAGAATTTGGAGCAGCCATGGATTCCCAACATCAGACAGTTCAAGCCTATTTCTAAAAACCCAGAGAGTTGCACTTTAAGTTTTATGAGTGATCTACTGGACAACACAGAGTGTAATTGGAATTTTGATCTTTTGAAAGCTTTGTTTACTGACCAAAAGGTTGATGCAATCAGATCCATTAAAAACCTGAAGCCAGCAGAGGAAGATAGAGTAGTCTGGGACTGGAATGCTAAAGGGGAGTTTATGGTGGCTTCCACATACAATAAGCTTGTTTGGGAGAAATGGAGTCAAATGGATAAGGCTGAGAACAGTTTGGAGCAGAAAGTGGTAAGAAAAATCAGAAAGCAAAAATTGGGCTGTGAAAATCATAGGGAAAATAAAGCATTTTCTCTGGAAATGTTACTTAAATCTCATTCCAGTGAATTGTAACCTGAGCAAAAAAGAAATTCCAGTTGATTTGATTTGCACAGCTTGTTGTGAAGCCCCAGAATCCACTGAGCATCTCTTCTTTCATTGTGCTAGAGCTAAAATGATATCGGAGCTCTCACCTGTAATTTGGGATGGACTGATTCACGAAACTGCTGACTTCAGAAGTTGGTGGAATTATCTGTGCTTAATGGAAAAAGGACCCACAACTGAGGATAGACTTCAACTCACCTTAAATATTTTATGGGAAATCTGGAATGCTAAGGTTTGAACAAATCCAAAGACCTGCAAAGGAGGTGGTCCAATTTGCTTGTTTAGCATTCTCAGATAGAGGATCAAACTAAATTTGGAGAACAACTAGGTTCCTTGAGTGCTCAGTGGTTCTTTTCATGTTAGGTTGTTTCCTCTATATTCGTTGTCTTTGTTGTTGGGTTTCCTTGTATGTCTGGTTAGATTGTGATGCTGTTTTCAGGCAGTTGATATATTGTCTTGATTGTTTTGGCAAGTATTAAGTAAATTGTTGTAGAGCTTAGCCTCTGCTACTTAATTTATGCCTAGTGTTTAGTTTCTAGGACACCATTGGTGATCCTTTTGTGTAGGAGTTACCTACAATTGGGCTAGTATGCTCTCGAACTTTGTACATTCATTTGAGTTTTATTTAATCTATCGGTTTATTAAAAAAAAAAAGATAAAAATAGATTGTCATCACTTTTTTCCCTTAAAATTTCATATTTTACGTAGCTTGTTTTCTACATGTTTACTTTTAAAATGTAAGATTTGACTATTCAAACCTAACTATTTATAAAAAAAATTAAATTTCAAACGAAACGAGTTGAATTCGAACTCTTATTGAATCAAGTTGAACTGATTAATTAAGTTAATTAATTAATTAGTTGATAAACAAACTCAAGTTTGACTCATTCGAGCTGAATTATGCTTAAAATTCAAAATAATTACATAAACAATCTTTATACATAAAGCCTAACGAACCGAGTCAAACTCGTGATTCTATTATAATAACAACTCCAAAAATTATTAAAAATTAACGCCTACAACTTAGTTTAATAAAATGATAACACCCTAATCCGTGGGCAGTCTATGGCACCCGTCATTCTTTGAGTACTTCAATTGTTATGGATTCTTGAGAATTTTGTTTTCATATTTGCTGGAACGCGTTCATGATTGTATACGACAACCACAAATAATTTCTTTATTTCAAACACCTTTTTTACTTAAACTATACTTTATACTATTTTACTATACACGTCTCCCATGCATCCTGCTAAATTATTAGGATTGGACGACGGGGTAAGATCACTTCGATTCCGGATTAGTCGGTTCCCTTGTGGATCCGGAAACCAGAAGGTCCCTGT